TGATTTTGTTCTACTTCTTATTGCTCATTCTCTTCTTCTATTAATAGCTTAATTAGTTTCACTCACCAGACTTAGGCTTATTTGCTGCCTACTCTAGTCTCCTTTTAAGAAAAAAGATGAAAAAAAAGTATATATATATATATATATATATATCTGGTGCACAAAATTCATTCACTGGGGGGTGTCCCTCAACGCAGCCTCTTGTACCCTCTCTAATCTGGTACCCCTCGTTCGACTGCCTGTTTAGGCCCAATGCAGTGAGACCTCATACAACTTAAAAACAGGAAGGCAAACAATTCAATTTAAAAAAATATGCAAAGGACCTAAATAGACAGTTCTCCAAAGAGGGCATACAAATGGCAGCGGACATATGGAAAAAAATGCTCAATGTCACTATGTCACTAATCATCAGAGAAATACAAATTAAAATGACAATGAGTTATCTCCTCACAGGTGTCAGAATGTCTACCACCAACAAATCAACAAATGACAAGTCTTGGTGAGGATATGGAGGAAAAGGGGCCCTAGTACACTGCTGGTGGGAATGCAGACTGGTGCAGCCACTACGGAAAACAGTTATGGAGTTTCCTCAAAAAATTTAAAAATGAAACTGCCATTGATCCCACTTCTAGAATTATATTATAAGAAATTTGAAACACCAATCATGAAGAGTTTCTGCACCCCCTATGGTGATAGCACCACAATTTACAATAACTAAGATTAGGAAACAGCCCATGTGCCCCTCAGTAGAAGAGTGGATAAAAAAGCTGTTATACATTTATACCATGGAATATTGGCTGCAGTAAAAATGAAGCATCTCTTAGCCTTTGCAAAAGCATGGCGGGACCAGGAGAATATTTTGCTAAGCAAAATAAGCCAGTCAGAGAAAGAAAAGTATTGCATAATCTCACTAATATGTGGAATCTAATGAATAAAATAAACTGATAAATAGATTCAGAGACACCGAAGCATGGAACAGACTATGAAATTTCAGAGGGAAGGCAGGAGTATGTGTCTGTGGGAAGGGATCAACCAAAGAACTTGCATGCACATTTGCATAACCCATGGACAGAGACAGTAGTGTGGTGAAAGGCTGGGGTAGGGGTCATGGGCAGGCTAAAAGGAGTCAATGGGGAGAAAAGGGGACTCATTTAATAACTTTCAAGGATAAGATTTTTTAAAATAAAAAATAAATTTTAAAATATGTTTTATATTTACATAAAGAGGTGCAACTCAGTCATATAAAAGAAAAAAATCTTTTGTGACAATATGGATGGATCTGGACATTGTGCTGAGTGAAAAAAAAAGTCCATCAGAAAAAGAGAGTGCTATATGATCTCCCTTATATGTGGACTCTAATGAACAAAATAATTTGACAAAAAAAGAACAGAAGAATACTTAACATAAAACGGAATGACAACTGTCACTGGAGAGAGTGATAAGAAGATTGGGTAAAAAAGAAGGTGAACTGATGAAGCAAATGTATACTAGGTGTACCAGTTAATAAGGCGAACTTTTTTCAATAGATGGAAATATATATATATATATATATATATATATATATATATATATGATAATATATATATTTGATAATATATATATATATTTGATATATATGCATTTGATATGTATGCTATTTTGACAACAAGCTTTAAAATTTCATATGTCAAATTTGCTGAAGGTGTTCACATCATAGATATTTGTATGCTTAAAAATTTCATGCTCTCCCCCTAATAAAAAAAGAGCATTTGCAGGAAGTTTTAATTCATTTATTTTGAAGAAAAAAATATCATATACTTCAGGAAGCTTATGGTGGACGAGTCCAATTTCAAGATACTTGTGAACACTGGTTTAAATGCTTTAAAAGTGATTATTTCAATGTGAAAGATAAAGAACATTAAAGTAAATCGAAAAAGTTTGAAGACCAACCATTACAAGCATTATTGGATGAAGATCATGTCAAACTCAAAAACTACTTGCAGAAAGACTAAACGTTGCTCAGCATACAATTTGCGATCATTAACCAGCAATGGGAAAGATTTTAAAGGAAACAAAATGGATGTCACATCAATTGAACTAAAGACAAATGGAAAACCGAAAAGTCATCAGTAAAATATTGCTTCAATGGCACAAAATAAAGTTTTTTTGCATCCATGTGACTGATGATGAAAAGCCGATTTCTTTTGAGAATCCCAAACTCACAAAATCATGGGTTAATCCAGGTAAACCATCAACATCAATTGCAAGGCCAAAATTCTTCATAAAGCAGACAATTTTCTATTTGTTGGGATCAGGAAGGTGTGGTCTATTATGAGCTTCTAAAACCAGGTGAAACCCTTAATACTGAACACTACCAACAACAATTAATCAATTTGAACCACGTTTTGATCATAAAACAACCAGATGTTCCAGAAAGGACCAGAACTGGCCAGAAGACATGGCAAAGTAATTTTGATGTTTCTATTGAAATTATCCTGTTTTCTTTGATTACAAAATCTGCCATTATAAACCGGTACATCTAGTATATAGAGAAGGACAATAGTATGGTATTTTTTATAGGGGCTCAATTTTCTACCCGTAGAAAATTAAAAGTTATCCTTACTACACAAACTATAATTTAGATACTTTAAACACTCTCTGGTAGGCGCTGTAGAAAATACTAAATTTTTTTAAAGTATTTTGGAGTATAATTATTATTAGGTATATTGGAATGAGGAAGAAAATGAAGACAAGCATATGGAGGATTTTGAATCTCAAAAGAATACATATGTGCATTTTTATGCAAATAAAATGGCTTAATATATGCAGATATTACAAATATTTACTATCATAAAGAAAATAAGAATAAATAGTAAATTCAAAACAAAAATTGGTAGCATTTAACAATATTTGGCCATTTAACAATATTCTTAGTGGAACAGATAAATACACATTACTTTGCAATCACATGCTATGCTCTAATATATTCTATCTTAACAAATACCACATTCATAGAAATGTGAGGAGTGAATGCAGGGGAGGGGTATTACAATTTTTATTATCAGAATTGTGTATGCAGAATTCTAAATGTAAAACTTTTTTGCATTAAGTATGTATTCATGGAAGGTATATGCGGGATGTATAATAAAGTTGTGAATAATGTGTAAGGCAGTTTCTGGGATGGTGAGATCTGCTTTCTTCTCCCTCAGAAAAGTGGTAAATGGTATTAAAAATGAATTATCTGCTAATATTGCTGGTATTGTTTAGAGATGATGGTAGCATAAATGCATGAAAAGATTGGGTACTATGTCTACTTAATACACTTTCCAATTAACCAATTATACATACTGACTACATGCATATCCCTTATTTTTTCCATATAAATCAGCAGAATATAATGTGTCACTCCTTTCTCAGTTATATAATTTCAAACATTAAAATGGAAGAATGATCATGTTGATACGAATTTGTATCAATTAAGGAACTTTAGGCTACAGACGACAGTAAAGGGCTTAGACTAATGGAGGAAAAACAATCAAGAACTTGTTTAAAAGTTAGTGTGAAGGCTTAGTGTCTTAAAGTCACCATTAAATCAGCCTGGTCTTTCAAAAGAGAGGAATTAAAGCAAGTCTAGCAGTGGAAAAACCTTAACTGGAGTTGCAGACAAAGGATAACACCACTCCCATCACCACCACCCATCAATCTCTGTCTCTCCTGTTTTAACTTTCCAAGTTATCAGTACAGATTGGTCAAACATGAATGTATGTTTATGTTTAGGTTCATTGATGGTGGAGAAGTAATGACTTCGCTGGTCTGACTGACATGCCAACATATTTAGTCAGAAAACAGCTTCTTTTCAGAGGGGAAGAAAAAAGTACTAGTAAGATGAAACCAATAGCAACTACTATAATCAATAACTTAGATTATTTGTACTTGTAGACAAACAGGTGCATATGCAGTTCGTATACATTCATTTTCATAGGGAGGGATGGAGCACAAACTGTACAGTTTCAAGATAATACATGTATATGCAGTTGTACAAATGTCACAGTGCAGTTTTAAGCTTTAATAATTTCAGGATAAATGCTACAAATTGAAAAATCATTATGTAAAAGGGGAACTGTTTTGATTCCCTTTCTCCTGTTTAGTTTTGTGAATGTTAATTTTCTTTTTTGTTTGTTTCTGAGCCTCTAGGAGGCACAAAAATTGAAATGATCTTTGAAAATGTGTAAATTTAAACAACTATAAAAACATACAAATAATTAAACATGCAAGTTGTGTTTATTTGAGTTTTAAGTTATTGAGCTTAAATACTCATTGTGACATTTTGGACACCTATATATATATTCATATCAGAATATTTTGAAACTACTCATTTTGTGCTCCATCCTTCCCCATGGATATATGTAAATATAAGAAGTGTATATGCACCTGTGTGTATATAAGTGCATAGAAAATAAGGGGTGGGCTATAATTGCTTTTGATTCCATTCCTGCAATACCTTATTTTCTTTTAATCATATATTTCTTCCAGCAAAATATTCATGCAAGTGAATATATTATAGGGAGATGTTTGAAAAGCTATATCTTTATTTAAAGAAAGGTTTAGAAAAATATGTAAAATTGTTTAAAAAGTCCAATTTCGTGGAAATGTGGAAGTCAGTGCAGGGGAGGGGTATTAGGATCTGTACTATTAAATACTCTACACTCCTTTGCATCGAGCATGTGTTTATGGATGCTGTAAGTGTGGGTATAATCAATAGATTAGGAAAGAGGATAAGGCAGTATCTGGGATGGTGTGGTCTGCCTTCTGGTCCCTTAGTCTTAGAATTAGAAGCAGCTGTCTGCTCAGATTGGTGGTGTGGTCGCAGAGATGGTGGTGCTAGAAATGGAAAAAAGGTTGGATACTGTGTCTGCTGAGGGGAATGAAGCCTCCTCCGTGGAGTCTAACCTGCTTCACTTCCTCTCTTTTAGGGGCTGAAAACAATCTGTTTAGTTGTACAAGTTTGTCATCCTGTCAAATTATTTTTCCTCCTGGCAACTTAATGTTGACTTTACTAATTTCTTATTCTTCCTCTTACGCTTTTTTAGACGAGCCATGGCTCGATGAAACAAATGGCAGCTGAAGCCCTCCTGGACCCCATGCTCCACATGCTGCTGAAGGGCCGCTAGGCTAGCAAAGACGTGGCAGCAGGCCAGGCACCTGAACCCGCTGTCCAGCGGCCTCTGCAACGGGACCCTGCGATAGAACACCGGAGTTGAAGGTGCTGCGCACCAGCCAGCCTTCTCCCTTTTCTCTTGGGCCGGACTGTCTACTCTGGGCTCAGGGTCATTGAGGAGGTTCTCCCCAGACGTGTGAGAGAGGGGGGCATTTCTATGGACCGCTGTAGTGTAGATCATTTTTTCCATTTTGATCCTTTTTGAGGGAGGTTCCCATCCAAACTCTGTATGGTACAAGACAGCCACACCCCTTTTCATTTGTACACGCATATAGTAAATTTTCCTGAGCCCACTCTCCTTATTACTAGATGAATGTGAAGAACTGGAGGTATCTAAATAGTCAGAGGACATATCCATTTGCACCAGGTCCTTGGGTACAGGTGTCTCCTTGATTCCTATGAAAGAAAATGTCAAACATTAAAAAAATTAGAATGGGTGTGTGACGGCTGTAGGAGCTACAAGGGCCATGATCTACGTGAGCAGGTGAAGTACATCTGTATGTGACATTGCAGAATTCTGGGTGTAGTGAGCTTTATCTGATATATTTACATGGTATAACTATGTGGGAATGAATGAGGATTAGATGTACGTACTTGTGGAGGTCTATTATATTCTGGGACATATGTGGGAATGTTTTGTGATGTTGCTAAAAGGCAATGGCTAATGAGTTGTGTGCATATTTATTATGTGTTATGATAGCACATGTGAGTAGTGCTGGAGTGGTACTGGGTATTACTATGCTACTGCAAGACTGAGGATGTTAGTGAAGGTGTGTTTGAGCTCTCAGACTGTTCAGCTCATGAAGGTCTGAAAGGCTGGTGACTGAAGTGCCATATGGTTAGACACACAGCAGATGAAAATTCATTTCCTTCAGGACATGAAAGTCTTCTAGGGTTTGATATAAACAGATTATCTGTGTGATGGGAATGTTAATTATTTATGGAATTAGTGTGTACACGGGTGAGTCTGAAAATGATTGTATGCAGGAATGAAGGTAAGGATATATCTAGGTAATGCTATTATAGATGGGTTATAAACCTGTGTATTTGAGAGAACAAGTGAAAAGGAGGGGCAATGAGGCAATCCTATATAATAAAGAGCTATTAGACAAATGGGTGTCACACCCTTGTGCCCTTGCACCCTTGCGCCCTCATGCAGGGCTGCTGAGTACGGGCCTGGGAATATGAGGCTGCACCTCCCACCCTGGCACCAGGGCCAGAGGACCTGAGATTGCACCCCTGAGAAAGCACTGGGCCGGGGGACATTAGGCTGAGCCGGGGGACCTGAGGCTGCACCCCCTGCCCTGCGGGGCTTGACAGGGGTGGAGCCAGCCAGATCTGGGTCTCTTGCAATTTAGAGGCATGCACGGGTAGGTCCCACAGTGTGCCCAGACTCTGACATGAGGGATATTTTCATATACATTTTACTAATTTTATTTCTTCTTCGCCATCACTTTTATCATAGACAAAGAATAGCAATATTAAATTATTTCCTCTAATTAATTCCCTTTTAATGTGCATGAATTTCATGCACCAGGCCAGTAGTAGCTTATATGAAGGAGTGCAGATGTATGAGTGTGTAATGATCCAAGTTTGTGCTCATTGAAGAGAAGTTTCTAAGTTAACTCCCATACACATGTCAGCCTTGCACACTATCCCAACCACTGCTGTTCCTCTGCTGCTTTATTGAAAATTTGTGCGGAGGGACCTTGCCCTGTCCTGGAAGGCACACTCCCTACTGGTCACTCTTCATAATTCTTATTCATCTGCCCTGAAGCCCTCTCCTGAACTGAGGGGAGAGTGAACTAAGTAGAGAGTAGGCTGAGCAGCTGAGCTGCATCTTTTGACCAAACCCAAGTCCCACCTTTGTATATACCTTACCGTCCTCATCGTGATGGGAAAGCTTGGATGGTGAGGAAACACAGGAGAAATATTCAGAGGTGGATGCATTTTCTCCTGCTGCCTGTTGGCAGCCTTGGGTCTCCATAAATGACTGATGCTGAGGCACATCTTCTTGAGTGCTCCAGGGTCCTGGTCAGGGAATAAAAAAGCACATTTTTGTGGGGTGTGTGTCAATTAAAAAACTACATGTTGGGTGGACATTATATATCAGACATTATCACTTCACATGGCAATTACTCTCTCAGAATTTAAGGAGACTTTCCCATTGAAATTCCATTTATTCCAAATTATAAGTAAACACATTAAATGGTGTGTTTGGTGGATGTCAGTGGGAGTGAGTGTCTTGTATGCAATTTTTCTGGTGATCTATATGCATCATCAAACACTTAATATCATGTTTGAAGGACAGTATGTTAGGAACTAGACATGGATATCAACTCTATTTTCTCATAAAAAATTATACCAATAGTTGATACATGGTACATGTTTCAAGAAGCACTCTGCATTCATATGTATCTATATTTAGAAATAAATAGAGATATGTAAAAATATAAATATTAATTTTTGAAGAAATTAATTGCTGATTATTATTATATTAATGTTCCTGTTTCATTGTTAACAAAGATTGATGCTCATTATTTAACTGTTTATAATTATCATCACATCTCATTAATGTGTCTGGTAATTGCAATATTCCAATTTTTAGCAATATATAAATATATATACACAGTAAGTGTAATGTGCTTCGTGTTTAAGTTAATAATTTGTTGGTTAAAACTGGCTTAAAAAAGTGTTAAAGAAAAAAAATAAATCAATTAAAATAAATTTTTAAAACTGGCTTAAAATTTAATAATGTATGATTGATTTGTTGTTTGAAAATCTGAATATGGCATGGGTTTTTGTCTGAATGAGGATAGCATGTGTGCTTTGTGTCTGTGAGTTACTTCAACACATTATTATGTGTGTAGATTGCTTTCCTATCATTACAGATTTGTCTACATGTTTAATACATTATGAAGTTTAGGTATGGTATGTTATTATCGAGAATATTTCTGTGAGATATGCGGAATTAACGTATTTTTTTCAAAATATGAGGAAATGTTTAATGAATGCGAGGATGTGAAAAACAAGTTGTAGAAGAGCAGGAATCCTGGGCTTTGAAAAAGATGTCAGAGAGTACAGAGAATGTAATTTCACTGTGCAGTAACAGGAGATTGCATTAGAAAATAAATTGTGAAAAATTGAGTTCTAAAGGGACTAAGACTGAATATGCAAGCTAAAACTTACCAGTCTAACCCTTAAACATTCACCAAATAAAAATGTAATGTTCAGAACATCAACTTTCTAAGTAATCTCAGATTCAAAGCAACCCAAATACTCAGAAAAGTATAATCGGTAAATAAATTATATTCATGCATGATATACTGAATGAACAGACTAACATCACATACAATGTGAATAAATCACACAAATAAAACCATGAGAGAAAGGAGCCAGATACAAAGTATATATTGTGTTCTTCTGTTTACATGAAATTTAAAAACAGAAATACTCATCTAAGTGTGTTAGAAGACAAATAAATTTTAACTGCTTGTATGATATAGACAAAAAAAATAGATCATGGAGAATGTAGATGCATGTGGGGGACTATAAGGAAATGAATGATGGGGAAAGTGAGTGTAAGGGATGACTGATAAGGGATGACTGCTAATGTAAAACTTTGTCTATGAAAATATATAGATATGATGGGATCTTCAACTGGGTATCTCTGTACTCTACATCAAGTTCAGTGTTGAGTATCCTACCACTTGTGTTACTTTAAGTTATTAGTGCTTCACGTAACATAACATGCCCTTGTCTTACTCATAGGAACATACTCTTCCATTTTCCTCTGATAAGACTCTCCTCCCTTTAGGTCATCTCCTATTAATTCCTCAAACACTGTTCTCCACTGATCTCCTTGCACTCATTCTAGTCCTTTTCAGTGTTTTCCCTTGAAATACATTATTTTCACTGCTGATCATATTGAAGATGATGCAGAAGTGTTTGAGGTTTTGTACTGAGAGGCCATTTGTTGACTTAATTTTCAACAAATGGGCAGAACCACTCAGCTCAACTCTGGGTTCTGTCTATATCCCAAATCCCTTTGTGTACTATTCAATAGTCCCTCCTTACCAGCACCAGTTAGCCTGTCTTTAGAGACTAAATTTTCCGAAGAAGAGACCTTCTATGCTTTCCATTCTTGAGTCAGGGCCACTGCCTTGTGTCTGTTCTGCAAAGTATCTTCTCTTAAATTCAACTTTGCTGAGCAATTAAATAAAAATAATGCAAATGTGGTCCATGCTTGTTATCTGTGTATTTATCTGTCCATTAAACAAACAATGAGAGTCTGCTATGTGACATGTTCAGTGAATACACACACAGCTCTCTCTTTATGGAAAGTGTAAAATGATTCCAATGAAAATATAAAATGCACAGAAATATGCTTTGTGTCAATATGTGTCATGGGTGACTGAGTTTGCACAAAAAAATTTATTTTTAAATGGAATAGAGACTGCTCTCTCCTTTCCACCTGGACATACAACTATATTATAGTTATCAGCTTCCCTTAAAGGTAGTTCTCACCATGACATTACATTTATACAATGAAAACAAATGAAATTTACATATGCCACTAACAGGCATCACCATACAAACCTCCTGTGTGCCCCTCCATGATCTTCCATTTCCGTGTAGACTGGGACACAGGCATATTAAGGTCTCCAAGATAGGAAACATTTTGTTGTAATTGATGGAATCCTAGGAAATAAAGTTTCAAACATAAGAAAACTAGAATGTGTGTGAGAGGGCTGTAGGAGGTAAGATGGCCATGCCATATGGGAACATGTAGAGTGAAAGGATATCTCTGTGTGATATTTCAGAATTCTGTGTGTGGTATGCCTCCTCACTTGGGGTGTTTACATGGTGTAATAATGTGTGTGGTATGCTTTATTTGAGGAATGTACATGGCATAATCATGTAAATATGTTTGTGTGGAGTTGTATGGATGTTCTGGGATATATGCCATGAGTGTTTTTGATTTTGTTAAAAGGGAATGGGAAAAGTCTTGGTGGCTGAAGTGGCGTATGGATTAGAAAGATAATATATCAAAGTTCATTTTCTTAGAGGCATATGAGTTTTTAAGTGTTTGGCCTAGAAGGAGGATTTTAAAACAGGTTATCTGTTTGATAGCATGTAAGTAATTTATAGATTTAGTGTGTAATAGGGTAAGTGTGAAGAAATCAAGGTAAGAGTGTATGTACGTAATGCTACTAGAGAGTGGGAAGACAGGTGTGGAATGAAGGTCTGTGTGTTTGAGAGAAAAATTTAAAAGGAGAAATGGGGAGTTACCTGGTATGAAGGAATACAAATGTGTGAGTGTGTGAAGAGGATATCAGTTTTTGCTTCCTGAGGGGCAGATTCTGAGTAAATTTGCAAACACATATCAGCACTGTCCACTACCTCAGCCACAGCAGTCCCCATGCTGTTAAGTTGGAAATGTGAGCTAAGAGATCTTCCTCTGTGTTGAAGGCACACTCTCTACCTGTCCCTCTGAAGAAGTCTTAGTACTACTCTGTCAGTCTAGTACTTAGTACAGTCTGTTCCTGTTTATCATGGGAAAGAGAAATCAGTAGAGACTGGGCCGAGCAGCTGAGCTGCATCTCTTGGTCAAGCTTAGATCCCACCTTTGTATATCCCTTACCATCCTCATCATGATGGGAAAGCTTGGATGGTAAGGAAACACAGGAGAAATATTCAGAGGTGGATGCATTTTCTCCTGCTGCCTGTTGGCAGCCTTGGGTCTCCATAAATGACTGAGGCTGAGGCACATCTTCTTGAGTGCTCCAGGGTCCTGGTCAGGGAATAAAAAAGCACATTGAGTTGAGGCATTTTTGTGGGGTGTGTGTCAATTAAAAAACTACATTTTGGGTGGACATTACATGTTAGGCATTATTACCACATGTGATAATTGTTGTCATAAAAATTAAGATGGCTTTCCCATTTAAAATTCCATTTTCTCTAAACTCTAAGTAAACATTTATTAAAATTGTGTTTGGTGGATGTCACTGGGATTGGATATCTTGTAGGTGATATTTCTGGTGATGGGTATGGATTATCATGTACTTAGAAGTATGCCTGAAAGACAGTATGCATGAACTAAATAGTGGATGTCAACACTATTTTCTCATAAAAAAATGTACAAAAAGGGAATATGTGATGCAAGTTTTATGAAGCATTCTACATGTATATATTGGTATCTAAATTGAGGTACATATATAGAGAGAAGTGAAAATATAATTTTCGAATAAATTATTCATTGTTCTCATGTTACTCTTTCTGTTTCATTGTTAACAAAGCTCAATGCTCATTATTTAACTGTTTAAGACACATGTGTCAAACACAAGGCCCGCGGGCCAAATCCGTCCCGCCAGGCCTTGCAATGTGGCCCGCACCGCGCTGTCATCACTGCACTCAGCTGCGTTTCCATCACAATGACAGTTTATGACTGTTCAGTAAACCATTCGGCCCGCGATTTAGGCTGGATTTTAGATTTTGGCCCCTTCTCTGATTGAGTTCGACACCCCTAGTTTAAGATATCATCATCTCTCATGAATGTTTCTGGTAAATGTATTATTCACATTTTAGCAGTATGGTACAGTGGATGTAATGTGCTTGCTGTTTAAGTTCATATTTGTTGGTTAAAACTGGGTTAAGATTTAATAATGTGTGATTGATTTGTTGTTAGCAATTATGAATATGGGATATGTTTTATGTGACATGGATGACATGTGTGCTTTGTATCAGTATGTTTGTTTAAGCACATATTTATGTGTGTACATTGCTTTTTCTATACTGTTGGATTTGTGTGTGTGTTTTACATATTATGTAGTTTTAATATGGAATGTTATTACTGAGAATATTCCCTTTGAAGCTGGTGGAAGTAGTGCATTTGCAAAATGTGAGGAAGTAATTAAAGCATGTGTGAGGATATTGCCAAGACAGTTTTTGGCTCAGTGGATAGAGCCTCTGCCTGCGAACTGAAAGGTCCCAGGTTTGATTCCGGTCAAGGGCATGTACTTTGGGTGTTGGCACATCCCCAGTAGGGGTTGTGTATGAGGCAGCTCATCGATGTTTCTCTTTCATCGATGTTTCTAACTCTCTATCCCTCTCTTCCTCTCTGTAAAAAATCAATAATTAAAAAAAGCATGTGATGATATGGAAAGCAAGTTGTGAAAGAGAAATAATCTTGTAGATCCTGTACTTTGAAAAAAGAGCAGAGAGTGCAGAGAAGAGTGTGTAAATTAAGTATGCAGTAACACAAGATTGCCTTAGAAATAAAATGGTGAAAAATTGAGTTCTGAAAGGGTTAATATAGAATATGCAAGCTAAGGCCTAGCAGTCCAAATGTTAAGTGTTCCCCAAACAGAAATGTCCATATTGTAAAGTACATGTAAATATAATGCCCAGAACATCACCTTTTCACATAAATCAGATGGAAAGCAACCAACTGCTCAGAAAAGTATAATGAATAAAAAAATTACATTCATGCAATGATATACCTTGAATAAACAAACTGAAATCACATTCAGAATGAATAAATTATACAAATACAATGATGAGAGAAAGAAACCACATAGAAAGCATATATTGTACCCTTCAGTTTCCATAAAATTTAAAAACAGGGTATGTTAGGAGTCAGAGAAATTTCATCTTTCTATGGAGCATGGAGAATTTATATGCTTTGTGGAAGACTCTAATGAATGATGTGAGTGCAAATGGGTCTGATAAGAGATGTCTATGAATGTTAAATATTGGCTATGAAAATATATGGATGTGATGGGGTCTCTGACTTGTGTATGTCTGTACTCTATCTCAAGTTTAGTTCTTGAGTATCCTACCACTTTTGTCCTGTTTTAAATTATTAGTACTTTCACACATTCCTGGTAATATAACATGCCATTTCTCAGGTCCTAGGAACATGTTCTGCAATGTTTCCCTGATAAAACTCTAATTCACTTAGTCCCTCTTCTATTATTGCCTCAAATAGAACACCTTTGTCCACTGATCTCCTTGGGTTTGCTCCAATCCGTGTAAGCGCTTTTCCCTTACAATTCTTTAATCTTAAAAGTATTACATATGTCACCCCTTTTCTCCCATTGTCATCCCATCCACCCCTTGTGTCAGCTAATGGGAAGAAACACTTAGCTCAGCTCTGGGTTCTGTCTAGAACCCAACCTCACTTTGCATCCAACTCAGTTGTCCATCCCTATTAGCACCAGTTAGCTTGTCTTTAAAAGAAATGCAGGATAAGTCATCTGAAAAAGAAGCTGCTCCTGCTTTCCAGCTGGAGTTAGGGCCACTGCCTTTTGTCTATGCTGCTAATTTGCTGAGAAATTAGAAATACAGACATGTGGTCCATGTTTGTTACGTGTATATTTATCTGTCTTTTAAACAAACAAAAAGCTGGCTGCACAGCAAAAACAAACAAACAAACAAACAAACAAAAAGCCATCAACAAATGAAGAGGATATATTGTAGTGGAGGATATATTTACCAATGTTACATTGTAGTGGAGGATATATTTACCAATGTTACATCACATTAAGAGATAATTTCCAAAATATATAATAAATTATAAAACTAAAAACAGGAAAAATTAAAGAAGGCAAAAATCTGAATAGACACATTTCCAAATTCAACATCACTAATCATCAGAGAAATGCATAGAGAAACCCTGGTTGGTGTGGCTCCATTGGATTTGATTCCCAGTCAGGGCATATATCCAGGTTTGGGGTTTCATCCCAATTTGGGGAGCATGCAAATAGCAGCTCATTGATGTTTCTCTCTTACAACAGTCTCTCTCTCCCTCTCTCCCTCTCTTTCTCTCTCTCTCTCTCTCTCTCTCTCTCTCTCTCTCTCTCTCTCTTTCTCTCTCTCTCTCTTTCTTTCTCTCTCTCTTTCTCTCTCTCTCTGTCCCCCTCTTCCATTATATAAAAAATGATGATTTTTTAATCACAAAAAAATGAAATATCAGCTCATACCTTCCAGAATAACCACCATTAATAAACCAATAAACAAGTGTAAGTGAGGATATGGAAAAAACGGTACCCTAGTGCACTGTTGGTGGGAATGCAGACGGTGCATCCTCTGTGGAAAACAGTATGGAATTTCCTCAAAAAAAATTAAAATGTAACTGCCTTTTGACCCAATAATCTCACTTCTGGGAATATACCCTAATGAAATTGAACCCCAATTTGAAAGAATAATATGCACTCTTATGTTCATTGCAGCATTATTTACAATAGCCAAGATCTGGAAACATCCAAAGTGTACATTAGTAGATAAGTTTTTAAAAAATGTGGCAAATTTACACAATGAAATACTATGCAATTTTAAAAAAGAAGGAAATCATACCTTTTGCAACAGCATAGATGGACCTGGAGATTATTATGCTAAGTGAAGTAAGCCAGTCAGAGAAAGACAAATAGCATATGATCTCAGAGGTGGCATCTTATTGAACAAAATAAACTGACAAGCAAAATAGAAACAGAGGCACGGACACATGGAACAGAATGAAAGCTATCAGAGGGGAGGAGAGGGGAGATGGGAAATGTTCAAGGTCAAAGGATTAGCCAAAGCATATATGCATGACCCACAGACAACAGTGTTGTGATGGCCACAAGGAAGGGGGTGAGTGTTTGCTGCGGAGTTGCCAAAGATGAGGGGTCGGGAGGGAAAATGGGAACATCTGTAATAGTGTAAACAATAAATATAAAGTAAAAAAATGATGTAAAGCAATACAAAGTATATAACAATAATACTAATGAAAAAGGTCTACTATGTAAATATTCATTAAACATACACATGGCCTCAACCTTTCTGGACAGGGTAATATGGTTTCTATGAAAAGTATTATATGTGCATTCATATTTACTGTGATAATGAATATCATAGGTTTGCACAAAGAAGGTTATTTTTAAATAGAACAGACTGCTGTCTAATTTCTATCTGTATATACAACTATATTATATTTATAATATTAGCTTCCCTTACAGGTAGTTCTGACAATGTGATTTCTACGAAAGAAATGGCATGTGCCCCTTCCAAACACTGTCTCAGACATCTTCTATGTGCCCCTCAATGCACCTCCCTTTTTTAGGTGACTGGGATGTTGATTTCCTGGAGTCTATTTGAAAGCTGCATGTTAATGATAAAGTTTACATCAGCTTAGTCCCATAAATTATCTCATGGAAGAGACTTGCCCCAAGGCTTATGTGCTGATTTGTGGTATAAGCAAGAAATAGATCCATTTTTATATTAGTCACTAAAGGCTTATCTATTCTAATAAAGTAGAGATATTATGTGTTTTAGAGAGACAAAAAATTGGATCTGGTACATAACTGGTGAGCAATTATGTTAGATTAATTTCACTTTTTCTTTGACTTATTTATATTCTACTAGTATATGTGTGTATATGTGAATAAGTTTGAATGTATGTTTGCATGTCTCATATTTTGTGTTTAATAACATCTCTAAACATGCACTAATATTGTTTTAAAGTGAAATGAAGACAGCCTTTTCTGAAGGTCCACTGGAGGATGCAGAAATGCCAACTAAGTTAGAAATATTAGTCCTCTTTAGAATGTGAGCTACCATTGGAACTTTGGGGGTGGCTCCAATCTGTCACCCTCCCACCAGTGAGCAACGGTTTTAATCTCCATAGTAGCCAAATTATTTAGGTTTCCCATTTTTCCCAGAAAGAACCTAAGCATCCCTTTACTTTAACTATTATTATCAGATTGTTGTGTGGTTTTGTGTTTTCATGCATCCCAGTTATTCTTTTTTCTTTCTTTTATATATTTTTATTTTATTATATTGTATAAAATGTTACATATGTGTCCTTATTCTCCCCCCCCCCCCCGTTACTCCTTACTCCTCCCACTCATGCCCTCACTCCCTATTGCCTGTGTCCATTGTTTAGGCTTATATGCTTGCATATAAGTCCTTTGGTTGCTCACTCCCACTTACCCCCACCCTCCCCTACCATTTTTTCTTACATTTCACAGAAGAGTTCCACATTTAATCTCAATAGTCTATGTTTCTGACATTATACTCTCCTTACACAACTAGCTTTAAGTGTTCCAAGTTATTTCCTGCCTCTCCTTTTCCCTGCTCTCTGTTTCCCCTGATCTCTTCTCATCTCCTTTCTCTCTCTCTTTCTTAAACTTTCTCTCCACTCCCCCATCCTGCCTTCATCTTGCCTCTTTTCCCTTCCTTCCTCTCCCTCTATAGCTCTCTCCCCATTTATCTATCTCTCCCTCTCTCCTTTCCTTCGTCACAACTGAAATTCTCTCCCTCTCTTTCTTTAGAAAACATTACTTGGTTACCCTGGGCCCTGAGAATGTGCTTAACTCATACCTCCTGACATCCTTGCAGTTTTGATGAAATACTTGCTTTCCAGATGTTTTCTTTTTTCCTTAGGCTTCATGGTTCAACTCTATAGAGTCACTCAAATCAAGTACCTTTCTACCCAAACTCTACTTTCATATTGTAAGTTGATGATGACAAGAAATCCAATTACAACAAGTACAATCAATATAAACAGATTACAACCAATAACAAGTCACTTGAGAGACTTCAGCAATCACTTCTCTGACCAGTGCCTAAGACACCACAAGGGCAGTTATGATGCAAATCATCGCTATGCTTTCAGCAGTGTTCCATGACATGTGCATGACATCAGTGCATTCCAGGCTCCAGCTAGTATCAGTGGACCAGAGTGATCCCTTTTATCCAATGGAAACTCTGCTATGAACTTGAAAGTCTTTTAACCCTTTACTCCATATCAAAACTAGAGGATAGATGACGTGAACTCAACTAAGGCAATTATTTTATGTGTCTAAGGCAGTGGACAGCAAACTGCAGCTCCAGAGCAACATGGAGCTCTTTGGCCCCTTGAGTGTGGCTCTTCCACAAAATGCCATGGCCTGGGCGAGTCTATTTTGAAGAAGAGGTATTAGAAGAAATTTAAGTTTAAAAACTGTGGTTCTTAAAAGCAATGTCAATTGTACTGTTGATATTTGGCTCTGTTGACTGATGAGTTTGCAGACCACTGGTCTAGTTACTAAATCTCCCCAATGGTGAGGCCAAGCAGTACCTGAGGAAACTAGGCTTAGAAACCAGTTTATCTCACAGAAATAGTATTACTATTTATATCCTAAGGGCAGTACTATTTAAGTCATGTACAAACATAATATGTAAGGTGTCTATTGGTGTATATGTGTGGATTTAAAAACATCTTATAATCCCTTACAATTCTAACATTTATCAAATATCTCCCACTATTAGGAATAATCTCACATATTTTTATAGCAAGCCATTGTCAGTTTTGCTACTTTTTCCCTTATCATTTCCGCAGAAGGTTGGGAAAAGAGGAAGCCTCTGGCTGTTGTCATGAATCCCATTCTTTTCAAACCCAAAGTCTTATTTTCTAGGCTTCTGTTCTAGGACCCAAGGCTATATCTTCTGGAAACAGCTAGGCTCTGTACAGAGTTTGAACTCTACATAGTTGCTCCACTCTATCATGCATCCCACCCACCACAGAGTATGCCTCCTCCCGTACAAGCAGTATGTGTTTATTTCCAAACCATATGTTACATTAGAGCCAGGCCATGACTTAGCCTTCTTCAGTCTTCTCTACGCCAATAGGCCCTGACTCTGGGACTTACTCCACCTAACCGAGGGCGGTATTTTTCAGTGCTTGAAATCACACCAAAACACTATTAGACTAATGCATAAAGTCAATTTTGTGATCATAAATGCTCATAATAATGGTGTCAATATTATTGGATCCCTGATGCTACTGCTGTTCTTGACCAATAGGGAGCTTTGCCTTTCTACTTTCATTGATTAATTTTGAAGAATGAAAAAATAGAAAGCTTTTGATCTAAGATAGGATTCTAACTGTATTCTTGGTTTCACAACCCTGGCTAAGAGTGAATTTAAAGTTAAAAAAAAATTGCACAAGAAAGAATCACTTTGGTGGCCAGGATATTATATACATATTATTGGACAATCAAAGCGGTTGTCCTCAAGTTCATTAATTTTTAATAGACTAAGATTAAGACGGCATATTTCTCTATAGTAAATAATCAAAATAAAATTACAATAATTTTCAAACTAGGGATCAAATGTAATAATGAAAGAATGAAAACTATGCTTTTGGAACATTGTGGCATCTCAAGGTTTACTGTGAAATGTGGGAAAATCATGATTTTTTTGATTTACATAAAAAATGCTAAAAGCTTTGTTTTCTTGTAAAACAAAATGTAAGATGATTTACCAATTTGACATCTAAGCCTGGGTCAAATTCTGATCTCCCAAATGACACTGGTAGAGAATATAACACATATTAAGATACATGTAAGCTCAATAGAAACATTTCATATTATAGAGATTAGTTTATTGTATTGTTCTTTAAAATATGTTTTATTGATTTAAGGGAGAGAGGAAGAAAGAGGGAGAGAGAGTAACATCCATCCATTGGCTGCCTCCTGCATGCCCCACATTGGGGATAAAGCCTGCAATCTGGTCACTTGCCTTGGCTGGGAATTGAAAAAGAAAAGCCAGGGGATATATTGAGGTTTATTTTTTAAAAGACTATTTAGCTTAATGGTACAACTAATGCATAAAATGATTTCTTTTTTCAGCATTAAAAGAAGCTGTCAAGCCCTGGCAGATTTGGCTCAGTGGTTGAAAACCAAAGGGTTTGATTCCAGGTGTAGGGCATGTACCTTAGTTACATGCTTGAATTTGGGAACTGGTAGTCATGTGTGTGGTAGGCAACTAATAAATCTTTCTCTCTTTCTCTGTCTGTCTCCACTCTCTCAAAATAAAATAAAATTTTATTATATTAAATTAAAATATCCTTGGGTGAGAATTTAAAAAAAAGAAAAAGAAGTGAAAACAAACAAACAGCACTGTTTAGAGCATGGCAGACAGCTATAGATGTCTAGAGGCTCTGAGTCTTTGCCTAATCAGCTTCAGGACCTCAGGCTAGGAAAAGTAGACCTGGGTACCCATCTTGATCCTTTCCAAAGAAAACCACACCCAGCAGAGGGACCCACAAGCTATGGACTTACAATAGCTCCAAACTGTACTCAGGGCCAGTCACAAACAACCTTTGATATTTTCCTGCACCAGTTAATGGGAGTCAAAGAAGATTCACATAATATACAGACAAAAACCCAAACAGGCAGCCAAAATGGAGAGATATAAAGAATAAGCCCGAATGAAAAAACAAGAGAATTCTCCAGAAGAAGAACTAAATGAAATGGAGATTTAAAAAAAATCAAATGTAGATATCAGAATAATGATTACAAGGATGCTCAACAGCATTGAGAAAAAAAAAATAGAAACTATGCAAAATTACCAGTCAGAAATGAAGAATGAATTAGCACCAATCAAAAACACATTGGAAGGAATATGTAGCAGATTTAGGGAAGCTAAGGATCATATCAATGGATTAAAATACAGGACCCAAAAGGAAAACTAATTAAAAACAGAAGGTCAGCTTAAGGGAACTGTGGGATAATATGAAATGTAACAATATTTGCAACATTAGATTTCTAGAAGGCAAAGAAAGTGAGTAAGGGATAGAGAACTTTTCTGAAGAAGGAATGGCAGAAAACTTCCCTTAACCCGATGAAGGTAAAAGTCACAAAAGTTGAGGAGGCACAGAGAATTCCAAGAAAGAAGAACCCAAAAGGCCCATGCCCAGATACATCATAATTAAGATGCCAAAAATTAAAGCCAAAGAGAGAACCTTACAGGTGCCAGGAGAAAAGCAATCTGTTACCTACAAAGGATCTCCTGTAACGTTGTCAGCTGATTTATTATCTGAAACTATACAGGCCAGAGGGAATGGAAAGAAGGATTCAAGGTAATGAAAAACAAGGATTGGAAAACAAGGTTACTATATTCAGCAAGGCTATCCTTCAAAGTAGCTGGTGAAATAAAGAACTTCCCAGACACACACACACACACACACACACACACAGACACACACACACAGACACACACACACAGACACACACACACAGACACACACACACACACACAAACAAACAAAAAAGCTAAATGGACTGCTATACTGAGAAGTATAAATAGATAGAGAAACATAAGTATAAGTAACTAAAATAGCAATAAATAAATTCCTGTCAATGATAACCCTAAATGTAAATTAATTAAATCTTATAATCAAAAGATATCAGGTAGCTAACTGGACACAAAAACATGACCCAAAATATGCTGTCTACAAGAGACCCACCTGAGAACAAAAGACTCACACAGATAAGAGTGAAGGGATGGGGAAAAGTCATGTAAATGGAAACAAAAAGAAGCTGGGATAGCAAAAGTCAAATCTGACAAAATAGACTTCAAAATGAAGGCTAGCACAAGAGACAAAAAAGTCACTACATACACTAAACGGAAAGGAGGACCAATGTAACACTTTCAACAATAAAGATTTTTAAAAAGTTCTAAATGGATCCATCCCACAAGAGGATATAACCCTGTTAAACATATATTCCTCCAATATAGGATCATTTGAATGCATTTTTAAAACTTCTGGTGGATTTTAAGGGAGATTTTGATAGCAATACAGTCACAGTAGGGGACTTTAACAACCCACTGACTTTACAACATAGATCTTCTGATTTAAAAAAAAAATCTGCCAATTTCACTCATTGGATAGAGCATCGGCCTGTGGACTGAAGGGTCCCAGGTTCGATTCTGGTTAAGGGCATGTACATTGGTTGCTGTCACATCCCCATGAGGGGGTGTGCAGGAGGCAGCTGGTTGATGTTTCTCTCTCATCGATGCTTCTAGTTCTCTATCTTTCTCCCTTCTTCTCTGTAAAAATATCAATAAAATATATATTTTTAAAAATCAACAAGGAAACAATGACTCTAAATTACACAGTGAACCCAGTAGGTTTACTGGCCATTTATAGAACATTTTACCACAAAGCTTGCAGAATATACATTCTTCTCAAGTGCACATATTATGATACAAAACAAGTTTCTACAAGTTCAAGATAATTGAAATCATATCAAGAAAATCGTATCACAATGGCATAAAATTAGAATTCAACCAGGGTGAAAACACTCAAAAACATTTTAAAATATGGAGGTTAGATAGTATGATCAACAAAATGAAAAAGGAGCCCACTGCATCATAGAACATATTTGTCAATGATACATCTGATAAGAGCTTAATTTTAAAAATATATAAAGAGCTGATAAATTAACAAAAGGAAGGCAAACAATCCAATTAAAAATGGGCAAAGGACTTAATTAGACAATTCTCCAAAGTGGGCATACAGATGTCCAAGAGACCCATAAAAAAAAGTCCTCAAAAATGCTAATCATCAGAGAGCTACAAATTAAAATAACAATGAGTTATCACCTTACAATTGTCAGAATGGCT